CTGACGGTCTATGGGGCAAGTGAAGTAGAGTTCACTTGTTTCTGTGACCTCGGCATATGAAGAGATAGTGTGGTCAGCACTATGCCCAGCCGCCTTTACTTTCCCTAACATAAGTTAGGTACCCATCAGAGTTGGGTGGACTCAGGGACGGTCTACTGACTTGAACCCGGATTCGAACTCGAGACTTACGGGTTAGCAGTCCAGCTCTCTACCGCTAGACCACTCCGTCCCACTATATATATATATACATACATATATACATAAATATATACATACATATATATATATATATATATATATATGTATAAAAAGTACATATATACACACACACACACATATATATATATATATATATATATATATATATATATATATATATATATATATATATATATATATATATACATATGTATGTATATATATGTATGTATATAAATATGTATATAAATATGGATATATACATATATCTATATATACATACACATATATATATATATATATATATATATATATACATATATAAGTTCAAATATACACATACACACACACACACACACACACATATATATATATATATATATATATATATATATATATATATATATATATATATATATATATATATATATATATATAGATAGATAGAGAGAGATAGAGAGAGAGAGAGAGAGAGAGAGAGAGAGATAGATAGAGAGAGAGAGAGAGAGATACAAAATGTACACTTGCTGAGAGAGCGAGACTTGAGAGCACACTGTTTATTATAACGTTTTGAAGTTGTGCCAAGATTTTCCTGTTCAAAGAAAATGTGTAAGACCTCTCTACCTGTGTTCCCTCCACACCTACTCTAAGCGCGTGAGTCACTTTCATCCTACGCTGGGGCACATGTTTAGTTTTAATTATATAGAAACTTTTCCTAGCAATATTGTAATCCACAATTGAAAATATCATGTAGTTGGCTAGATATGGAATGTAGGCTTCTCTTTCTGGTGGTACCTACAGTATTAGGCTATGATGTAGGAATAGAAATCATCTGCTATGTGCAATACTTTCATGCGACCAGCCGGTACATTTAACTAAGTAGCATAGCAACTACAACCAAATAAAACAAGATATAAAACCAATAGTTAACCAAAGCAACTACAACAAAACAAAACAAAAAAGACGGGTAAATAAACAGCTAGCCATCTGACCTGAGCCTCGTCTTCCGATCCCTTGAAACCAGATTTCCTCAAGACTTGAAGGACCTCATCAAAAGACAGCGAGCCACTTTTATCCGTGTCAGCTTCATCGAAGTCGAACTTAAACTTCTCTACTTGTTGTTTCACCCATTCGACGCTCATTTTCCCTCCACTGGCTGCAAGAAAAAGCCTTAGCTTATGTTTTCACAATAATAATTACAAAATATTTGCTCAAATCGAGTCGACAAAACAGCAACAACGCAAATGACACGTTGCTGTTTGTGATGGTTAGCTGATGTGGCTCGCTGTGACATCAATGGCGTACTTTTTGTACAACAACGTCACAAAGTCTAATTAATGAACTACTTATTTACGATGTCGTTATACCTGACAACAAGTAAATTCCAACACATTAAATTTTAAGATTGCAATGAAGTAAATAAGGGCGATATTATAAACACTCACACTGTTCAAATCTCACTGATAGAATACTAATATAAAGATGGCAACCACTTTAAATAAAGTACGAAACTGAGATGGCGAGTTGAAAAAGTAAACAGAAGGTTGTGCTAAGGTGTGTACTGCACGCGCTCCTCCACTCACCTGGCGCTGCTACCTGGGGTGTGGTGCTAACGGCTTGTTTGCCCTGGGTCTGACTGTGTGCTACACGAGTCTGTGTGACCTCAGCCTCCACGGGCTGACCCACATCTGGTGCCACAGGCTCTGGTACAGGCCCGGGATCCTCAGTGTCATCTTGATTGCTTAGACGAGGGGTTTGAATCCGGAACAAATCTTTAACAGTCTGAGTAACGAACCATGGGACTGTCAACATGGTTAGAGCGATCTAGACACAGCCGCTCACCTCTAGTTCTCCCTCTACCTGCGTCTCCTGCCTGCGGTGTAACCTTTCACCCGCTTTGTAAATGCCAAAGTGTACTCCCCTTGCTAACCAAGTAATACCCAAAGTATTTTTATTGTTAACAGAGTAGTTGCTAAATACGGTTTGTCAGCTTAACTTTAATTATTGACTTATTTTAGTCTCATCGGCCAAACCATGAATGACTTTACTCGATCACATCCGTACATCGCAGAGAACGGGAGAGGGGGGTCGTGGGAGAGGGATGAGAGAGGGGCGACTAGAGAGCTCAAAATATAAGCTAAAAGGTCATTGGAATTGGAAGGTTTACAATTTTAAGAAATTTACCGTGTAACTGATTTTCTGCTAATTCGAAAAATCATTATTTTTGTAATTGCAACTGTAAATTTGATAAAAAAGAACTATAGGCTACTTAGACTTCGCTTTACTAGCAAGAAACAGATGGAGTTATCTCCCTTAAAGTTTCTCGTATATTCTTATACAGGATTATACAGTGTTTCTTCCAGACTTTTTTCTTCGGGGGGGGGGGGGGTCACTTACAGTTTTCGGGGGGGGGGGGGGGGCGGACTAAAATTTCCCAAGGGGGGGGGGGGTGAACACTGTTAAAAGTATATATTTTCTATATAAATTTCATTTCTTTGGGGGGGTAGATTTTCTTTTCGAGAAGGCGCCGCCCCCCCCCCCCCCCCCCCCGAAAAGATGCCTGGAAGAAACTCTGTTCTTTTATAACAATACGGAAGTTGGCATTTTCATTGAATATAGAAGTTCGTGACGAAAACACATAGAAGTTAAAATTATACATGCGTATATATATATATATATATATATATATATATATATATATATATATATATATATATATATATATATATATATATACATGACGATATTTACACACACTAGACATGACAATATTTACACACACGTTTTATGTTTTATTCCCCTCCGTGGTTGTTGGTTTTCTTGAGTGTGTCATAATTCAATGTCTACTCCTGCCATCATTCAATGTCTACTGTCATCATTCAATGTCTACTCCTGTCATCATACAATGTCTACTCCTGCCATCATTCAATGTCTACTGTCATCATTCAATGTCTACTCCTGTCATCATACAATGTCTACTCCTGTCAACATACAATGTCTACTCCTGTCATCATACAATGTCTACTCCTGTCATCATACAATGTCTACTCCTGTCATCATACAATGTCTACTCCTGTCATCATACAATGTCTACTCCTGTCATCATACAATGTCTACTCCTGTCATCATACAATGTCTACTCCTGTCATCATGCAATGTCTACTCCTGTCATCACACAATGTCTACTCCTGTCATCATACAATGTCTACTCCTGTCATCATACAATGTCTACTTCTGTCATCATACAATGTCTACTCCTGTCATCATACAATGTCTACTCCTATCATCACACAATGTCTACTCCTGTCATCATACAATGTCTACTCCTGTCATCATGCAATGTCTACTCCTGTCATCACACAATGTCTACTCCTGTCATCATACAATGTCTACTTCTGTCATCATACAATGTCTACTCCTATCATCATACAATGTCTACTCCTGTCATCATACAATGTCTACTCCTGTCATCATTCAATGTCTACTGTTATCATACAATGTCTACTGTCATCATTCAATGTCTACTCCTGTCATCATACAATGTCTACTCCTGTCATCATACAATGTCTACTGTCATCATACAATGTCTACTCCTGTCATCATACAATGTCTACTGTCATCATACAATGTCAACTCCTGTCATTATACAATGTATACTGTCAGCATACAATGTCTACTCCTGTCATCATTCAATGTCTACTACTGTCATCATACAATGTCTACTACTGTCATCATACAATGTCTACTCCTGTCATCATACAATGTCTACTCCTGTCATCATACAATGTCTACTCCTGTCATCATACAATGTCTACTTCTGTCATCATACAATGTCTACTCCTGTCATCATACAATGTCTACTCCTGTCATCATACAATGTCTACTCCTGTCATCATACAATGTCTACTCCTGTCATCATTCAATGTCTACTACTGTCATCATACAATGTCTACTCCTGTCATCATACAATGTCTACTACTGTCATCATACAATGTCTACTCCTGTCATCATACAATGTCTACTCCTGTCATCATACAATGTCTACTCCTGTCATCATACAATGTCTACTCCTGTCATCATACAATGTCTACTCCTGTCATCATACAATGTCTACTCCTGTCATCATACAATGTTTACTCCTGTCATCATACAATGTCTACTGTCATCATACAATGTCTACTGTCATAATACAATGTCTACTGTCATCATACAATGGTTATTCTTGTCATCATACAATGTCTACTGTCATCACTCAATGTCTACTACTGTCACCATAAAATGTCTACTCCTGTCATCATACAATGTCTACTCCTGTCATCATTCAATTTTTACTCCTGTCATCATTCAATTTCTACTGTCATCATACAGTGTCTTCTGTCATCATTCAAAATGTCTACTCCTGTCATCATACAATGTCTACTGTCATCAATCAATGTCTACTGTCATCATTCAAAATGTCTACTCCTGTCATCATTCAAAATGTCTACTCCTGTCATCATACAATGTCTACTCCTGTCATCATACAATGTCTACTTCTGTCATCATACAATGTCTACTCCTGTCATCATACAATGTCTACTTCTGTCATCATACAATGTCTACTCCTGTCATCATACAATGTCTACTCCTGTCATCATACAATGTCTACTCCTGTCATCATACAATGTCACTTCTGTCATCATACAATGTCTACTCCTGTCATCATACAATGTCTACTCCTGTCATCATACAATGTCTACTCATGTCATCATACAATGTCTACTCCTGTCATCATACAATGTCTACTTTTGTCATCATACAATGTCTACTCCTGTCATCATACAATGTCTACTCCTGTCATCATACAATGTCTACTCCTGTCATCATACAATGTCTACTCCTGTCATCATACAATGTCTACTCCTGTCATCATACAATGTCTACTCCTGTCATCATACAATGTCTACTCCTGTCATCATACAATGTCTACTCCTGTCATCATACAATGTCTACTACTGTCATCATTCAATGTCTACTCCTGTCATCATACAATGTCTACTCCTGTCATCATACAATGTCTACTTTTGTCATCATACAATGTCTACTCCTGTCATCATACAATGTCTACTCCTGTCATCATACAATGTCTACTCCTGTCATCATACAATGTCTACTCCTGTCAACATACAATGTCTACTCCTGTCATCATACAATGTCTACTCCTGTCATTATACAATGTCTACTCCTGTCATCATACAATGTCTACTACTGTCATCATACAATGTCTACTCCTGTCATCATACAATGTCTACTGTCATCATTCAATGTCTACTCCTGTCATCATACAATGTCTACTCCTGTCATCATACAATGTCTACTCCTGTCTTCATACAATGTCTACTCCTGTCATCATACAATGTCTACTCCTGTCATCATACAATGTCTACTACTGTCATCATACAATGTCTACTCCTGTCATCATGCCATGTCTATTGTCATCATTCAAAATGTCTACTCCTGTCATCATACAATGTCTACTTTTGTCATCATACAATGTCTACTCCTGTCATCATACAATGTCTACTCCTGTCATCATACAATGTCTACTCCTGTCATCATACAATGTCTACTCCTGTCATCATACAATGTCTACTCCTGTCATCATACAATGTCTACTCCTGTCATCATACAATGTCTACTACTGTCATCATTCAATGTCTACTCCTGTCATCATACAATGTCTACTTCTGTCATCATACAATGTCTACTGTCATCATTCAATGTCTACTCCTGTCATCATACAATGTCTACTCCTGTCATCATACAATGTCTACTGTCATCATTCAATGTCTACTCCTGTCATCATACAATGTCTACTTCTGTCATCATTCAATGTCTACTCCTGTCATCATACAATGTCTACTGTCATCATACAATGTCTACTCCTGTCATCATACAATGTCTACCCCTGTCATCATACAATGTCTACTGTCATCATTCAATGTCTACTGTCATCATACAATGTCTACTCCTGTCATCATACAATGTCTACTCCTGTCATCATACAATGTCTACTGTCATCATACAATGTCTACTGCCATCATTCAATGTCTACTCCTGTCATCATACAATGTCTACTCCTGTCATCATACAATGTCTACCCCTGTTATCATACAATGTCTACTGTCATCATTCAATGTCTACTGTCATCATTCAATGTCTACTCCTGTCATCATACAATGTCTACTCCTGTCATCATACAATGTCTACTTCTGTCATCATACAATGTCTACTCCTGTCATCATACAATGTTTACTCCTGTCATCATACAATATCTACTCCTGTCATCATACAATGTCTACTCCTGTCATCATACAATGTCTACTCCTGTCATCATACAATGTCTACTCCTGTCATCATACAATGTCTACTCCTGTCATCATACAATGTCTACTACTGTCATCATACAATGTCTACTCCTGTCATCATACAATGTCTACTCCTGTCATCATACAATGTCTACTCCTGTCATCATACAATGTCTACTCCTGTCATCATACAATGTCTACTCCTGTCATCATACAATGTCTACTCCTGTCATCATACAATGTCTACTCCTGTCATCATACAATGTCTACTCCTGTCATCATACAATGTCTACTCCTGTCATCATACAATGTCTACTGTCATCATTCAATGTCTACTCCTGTCATCATACAATGTCTACTGTCATCATACAATGTCTACTGTCATCATACAATGGTTACTCCTGTCATCATACAATGTCTACTGTCATCACTCAATGTCTACTACTGTCACCATACAATGTCTACTCCTGTCATCATACAATGTCTACTCCTGTCATCATTCAATGTCTACTCCTGTCATCATACAATGTCTACTCCTGTCATCATA